ATAATACTTTATTATACAATATATTATAAGAAAATTACTAAATATATTATAAAATACTTATTTAATACACAAATATTTTATAAAATATTTAGTAATTTCCTAAATACAATTATTAATAAAATATCACTTTTACTAATAAATAATGAAATAACATCCTTATTAAATCAAATTAATTTTAGATAACACAGTATGATTTTGTTTTATGTAGAAGTTGCATGTCAGCAGGTACTGTATGAAATAAAATTAGATTTAAATTTTTATTTCAACCTAAGTAATCTCAGATGATTCCTTAGACATTTAAGTAATCATATATAATTAGTAGAAAAACATTAAAATTCTATTTAAAGCATTTTACTTATGTTTTAACTGCATGTAATGAATTTCATAATAAAAATAATGTGTATATTAATAAGTTAGTCAGAATTATCCTTGTACAGTACATCTAAGGTTAACCTAACCATTTGTCATCTACATAAATACAAATCTACATATATCAATCCCATATAAAAGAAGATCCTACTATTCAGGGGTTAAAAATATTAATTAATTACATTACTAACATTTTAAAACTTTGTAATTTATCTTTATCTATGTCCAACATTTAACATAACAGAATAGTAAACTATTTTAGATTTAAAGTTCTAACTAATTAAGTATAATTATATTAGTATAATTTATATAACTTTTTTATAGTATATAAATTATAAATAAATAAATTTTATAAAATCAAATACATAAAATAATTAAATGATATTTTAATAGAAATTAATATTTTATTTAAAAAATAAAATACAATGTTATTTTCTTGATTGCTCAAAATAGAACATTTATGAAATCTAAAATTTGATTTATCATCACATTAAAACTGATATGGAATAATGATATTTAATATAATGATAACCAAAAACAATTGCTTTTCATTTTGCAAATTCTTCTATTTAGATAAATAAAAATATATTTATTTCAAATATTAATTATTATGTATTTGTTTCAAATTATATAAACTTAATTGTTAACAACACACTGTCAATACTGTAATATAAAACTATATTGTCTAATATGTATTTAAAAAAAATTATCATTTAAAATTATAAATAACTTTTTTTAATTTTATTTACTATAAGTATAATAATCTACTTATTAATTATTACATACCAGAAATTGGTGAAGATGTAATTAAACCAAAAAATAGAAATAAATAAAGTGATAAATGAACAGTCATGATGCAGAATTAACCTTGTAGACTATATCATTTTAATGTATATCTCAGATATTCCTGTAAGAAATAAATAAATATATTTAAATTCTAAACCTTCTTATTTATCAACTTTATAAATTCAAGAGCAATTATGTTATATTTAACACATTTATTATTATACACGAAAATTAATTTAAATTAAAATAAAAACATTAAAAATTCAACATAACTCATATCATCATATTAAAAAATATTCTTAAATATTGAAAAGTTAAATTAAATTATTGTATTTCTAAATTCCAAACTGTTTAATTTTCTTTACAATCAATTAAAATTTTTATTAATCATTAAATGATTATTATAGATATAATTTTAAATATAAAGTAAAACATTTCTATATTATTAAAAAAATTACTACTAGCTTAACTGTGAATATGATTAGATTAAATCACAATATAAAAAATCATCATTGGAAAAATGCTTATCACACATTATTAATATCTAGGTACAATTCTCATCACATCTTATGTACCAGATAAGGATGCATTTCAGGAATTTAATAATATAATTCCATTAAGTAACTATAAAAGCAAATTGTAAAGTCAATCAAAAGTTATATTTTATGTAACGTAAACACATTTTCTTCCAATTCAAAGTGATAAAAACTTATTACAATTTAAACTAAGATGTATTTTATCACTTTTTCTATTTTTAATTTATTTACTTTTATTATTTAAATGTGATGATTAATATTAAAAACACCTTTCACACTTTTTCTAGCAAATTTTAATTAAAATATAAATAATTCAATATATAAATTTATTTAATTCAAATATACAAATGATATTTTTACAACTTCTATGACAGTAAATATTAAAATAATTCTTTATAAAATATTATAATCCTTTTAAAAAATCATTAAAAAAAAGTTAATAGAATGTATTTTTAAAAAGTCTGATTTAATATTTATAATTTAATTACAGAAGTGATACTATTGAAATTGATATAATATTAAGAGAAAGACTTTTTAAAATTGAAGATTAAATTTAAAATTGCAAAAACTATTAATATTTAAATTCTGAAATTAGATCTTTAAACAACTCTTATAGATTTTGCATATTGTATTATTATGCTCTAAGAAAACCAATGCCTTTTGTCATAAATCTCTTTAAATCTTTACTGGATCATTCTTATCTGATAAAAAAAATTAGAAAAATACCTTTGAAAACAGGAATTTCAATGATTCATTAATAATGATGAATTTTATGATATAAAAATGCTTGATTTAAAAAAAAAAACCCCGATTTTTCTTTAAATATTTAAACTTTCTTTAACAATACAGCTATTAATGTAAGTGAAGTTTCTTTTAATATTGGACAAACTTCTATAAAAGTTTTTCCAAATTAAATACATAATTTTTTCCTACAACTTCGTTAAAAGGATATCATTTTTTAACAAAACTTTAATAATTCTATTCTTGCCAGAGTTAATGAAAATTCCTTAACCGTTTCGAAAAGACAAAAATCTAAAACAAGAAATTAGGTTACTTTCTCCAGAGATTGGATATAATTACCATTACAACTTACCTATTAAGAAATATATATAATTTTAAAGCGATAATACGAGGTTGTTTTCGAAAACACCGAGTCACATAGATTAACAATATCTTTTAAATCAAATATATTGAAGATAATTTGTTACATATAAATAATTTCAACCAGAAAAATAAATAAAACACATGAAAACTGTAATAGCCTTGGCCTCATCTATGTTATTTTAAAAGATGCACATGTACTGTACAATCACAAGCAATTTTACATTATTATAAATGAGCGAATTCGATTTATGTCTTTAACTTTTTATTTTATATTGATTTATTATATAAAATCTTTCTAACAGGATACAAATGTTAAGGAAATAACTATTTATATTGATAAATGCAAGTGCGTGTGACATTCTGTGTTACACTAACAATGTATATGTAATTTTAACGTATAACTGTTATTTGCACATCCGGATAAGTGAAATTCCAATTAAAAGGTTCGTTGATAGCGCATTATATACGCATAATTTTTCCATATTAAATACCATTAATACAGATTGGCAATAAGGACACCGTATTATAAACCCTTAATCTATTGATTCGAACGCGTTAAGACGAAGTTAATAAGTCTTAATTTCGTTTAAAAACGAGTTGAATTACCTTTTATAGGAAATCCGACAGTCAGAGGAGGCGGAACGTACCTCGAGTCGACGATTGAAGTTCATCCGGCGCCATCACTTCTAAGGCCACCACATAGATTATAGTGCGCATGCGTGTATTTACTTCGTTTACGACTTTCCGCGTGTTTTTTTAATATTAAAAAATATTTTTATTGTAAAAATATTTTAATTTGTATAGAAAATTTATTTAAATTATAAAACGTTGTATTAATTACGTTAAAAGAATAATATAAAACACTAATACGATGAGATAAGACGAGATGGAGATTAATTTTGTTGAACTTATATCCTGTAATTATCGATAATAAATTACTCAAATAAAGCAATTTAGTTAATATCTTCTTCATTCCGTATTTATTAAATGAAATCAATTAATGTGAATTAAAATAAATTAAATTGTTAAACTTTTTTAATCGATTTATAAATAATTTCATAAATTAATTAATAGGGAGGTTGCGGCCGACGTTCGGCGGCGCTAAACGTCCGACGTTCACGTTTTCGCGACGAAAACGTCGGCTGCAACCTCTCTAATATATTTGTACGCGTATGAAAATAAATGTTTTCATACAGTTGTAAAAATATTTATAATTAATTTTTTTTATTTAAATTTATTTATATTAAAATATAAAATAATTAAATCGTTGTTTTTAATTTGTAAAATTAATTATATTGGCAGACCCATGTATACTTACTCCATGTGCAGACCTTTGTAACATACTGTAGCATCAATAGAATGTATCTAAGTAATTTTTTTTATCAACGTTTTAAAATTCATTCAGTTAAGAAAGTGATATATAATTTTCTACTTCCTCTTTAAATGTCGAGGAGTTATTGCAGTGAAAATGCGTTTTTTTTTCTTTCTTTCTTTTTCTTCTTTAATAGCGGCATAGCATATAGACATACATAATTAGTTTTTAAATTCTACAGGCATAGTTAAAACATTTTAGTTCATTACAAAACTACGTTGGTCTGTACGTCACTGTGTATAAAATAAGATATACAATAAGGTTTTTCTTAATATAAAAAAAATAATATTAAATAAATTTAAAATAGAATTAACGTTCAAAAACTTTTTAATTTTTATAGTAGGCCTATTTATTATGAATGACATGAACGTATCGGGACACTGTAATTAAGAGGTGCAGCGGAATTTATTTTTCCAAAATATTGCATTAATAAAAACACAAGTACTGTACAAGTTTTTAATTTGCCATCACTGATAATTTTTAAACCTTTTTGCTTTCTCAGTATGATTTTTCTTTTTCGTTTTTGTTCTTTCTTTGCCCGAATTTAGGAAGGCAGCCGCTCTCCCTACTACCCACTCTAAATTTATTTAAGTTTCCTTTTAAATGTACTGTAATAATTGTCAATGACACTTCTTTTATTCTTTCCTCCCTGTGGACACTTTTTCGTGCCCATCATAGATTCGGTCAGAACCCACAATAGGGTTTTTTTTTAATACTCTTTTCGCCCTGTGGGCACTAAGAGGGCCTCTTATAGCAGGCTCATTATGGGTTCGGCCAAGCCCACAATGGGTGGTGAGGGACGGGGCCCGATATATCCGAAAGGACCGCCCCCGAAAAATTCCTGTGGTTTATTTGACCCGTCCAGATTCGATCCCGGGTCCCCTAGAGAGGTAGGCTGCCTCCTTGACCGCTCGGCCGTACGGCCTAACCCACAATAGGGTTTGACGGTTGAATGACCGCCAAGAAGTTAAAGGACACACAAATAGACGGACGCCAGAGGGAATTTATATGTATATTTAAATCACGATTATGAATTTTTAATCTATTCTATTTAGCTTTATGGCAACAAATAACTTGTTAATATCAAGTTACTACATAATTTATTTGTATGGGTAGAGATTTGCAGCATAAAATAAATATTTATAGAACGAATTACCTTTCTAACAAATTCTACGTATTGTGGTTGTATAGACCAGTGTTTTTCAACCTGTGGATTGTGACCCCCAGGGGGACGCAAAGCCTTACACAGGGGGTCGCGGGCAAAAGAAAAAAACAAGTGGTTATAGGTCCTACACTACAATAAAAAAAACCTACTATTTGGTAGATTATTATCATTTTAACAGTCGCTTTATTAAACTAATATCGAAAAATTACATTTACCACATAAAGTGCGTTTTTGCCACCGAATGTTATCATTGCAGTTCAATTATAATCCGACAAGACACACAGAACGTGTAGAAAGTAGACTATGGTTCACACAAGGGTTACTCAGGAGTTCGTATTGGGTACACGACTATAAGTTTGAGGACCACATTACTACAAAAGTCATGAAATACTGAATCAATTTTAACCATTAAATAGATATATACTGTATTTATATATTTTTTTATAATACAATTTTCATCCAGAAACGCGTTGTGTATCATTCCCAGTCGTTAAAAGATTTTATTTAAAAAATAAAAAATAACTTTTATATTATTAATCATAATAAATAAAATTGTCCGATTATTTATCCACGTATTTTATTAATTTGCATTTGCATATTAAAACACACAGACACACACACACGCACACACACACACGCATATATATATATATATATATATATATACACACACACACACATATATTTTCAGGTAATTTCATCAAATCCAAGTTGATCAAAATCGGTGAGTAGCAGAAGTACCAGTACAGTACTGTACATGTACTGTACGAGTGCTCCTGCTACCCACCGTGGTTTTCAATCCGTGGTCCGCGGTGTTCCGTGAAGCCACTTCAAGTGTTCCGCGAAAATCTCAAATATACAATTAAAAATTGTTGCAAAAGAAAAATCAATACAATGTCAAATAATTTTTGTATAAGAATGTAAGCAACAAATGCCAATGACGACATATATTAGACCGAGTGCGCTCTTGATTTCAAAAAGGTTTGCTATCCCTGCTTTAAAGCTGATATAAATGTTCCGCAGAAAAAAAAAATGTCAAAGTTTGGTGTTCCCGACTTCAAAAAGATTGAGAACCACGGCAATAGGGCACTTGGGGCATGTGTTACCCTTTGTCGTCCTTTTCTTAATTCCCAAAGGAGCTCTGAAGTTTCATTTTATTTATAGTTACTCATTTTTATTACAGAAAACTTTTTACAGGTGACAAAATAAAAATATTTCTATTAACCGAAAATTATTCTAGCGGATCGTGATTGGTCGAGTACCGAGTTACCATTGTATTTGATTAATGCGATTTTGATATACGCGGTAGCATCGAGAAATTAATTAACTGTAGTAAGGAAGGACAGAGACAGACGGACAGTCCAGACAAAAGATGACAGTCGAAATTTGTAGGTCTACAATTTTTTTTTTCAAATTGCAGCCCAATAACTTTTCTATAAATGCAATATTTATGTGAACATACAGTACTTCCCACCAAGTTTATACAATNTGTAGTAAGGAAGGACAGAGACAGACGGACAGTCCAGACAAAAGATGACAGTCGAAATTTGTAGGTCTACAATTTTTTTTTTCAAATTGCAGCCCAATAACTTTTCTATAAATGCAATATTTATGTGAACATACAGTACTTCCCACCAAGTTTATACAATCTGTTGCCAAAATTTAAACACTTTATTATCATGTAACAGGAATTATTTTAGCCTTTATACAAGATTTTTTTATTTAAAAATGTTTTTAAATGTGTTAGATTGTTCACTTACTGTGATAAACTCTTACGTAAGATAACGTAAGAGTTTATCACACCAAAGTAGTTATATAAGTGAAATAGTATAATATAATAGAATAGAAAGGTTATAAGTACGAAATAATTTTAATCTTTATTATTATTTTTTGCCCAGAAAATGCCGGACTCATCTGCTAGTTTCCAATATTTGGCTTCGAAACTTGATGAATACAAAGATTCGTATTATTTACATTACGATAATGAAAGAATCAAATTATTGACATTGAGATAATGAAAACAATATTACTGATATCATTGATTTTCATACTAAAACTATTATTAGATAAATTGTTTGTGATTATTAAAAAGAATTATGTCACTTTATGTTTTAAATGACTTGTTTGTTTTTAGTTTCTGAATACAGTAGGTGATCGGTTAACGAATATAATCTGTTCCAAAACTGTTCGCTATCCGAATTGTTCGTTAACCGATTATCGATTTATCATAGGTTTTTATGGGAATTTGATTAATTCATTCTGGAACCTCCAAAAAATAAAAAATATATATTTTTTTACTATGTTTATTTATATGTAATAGTAAAAATACATATATACACAGTCTTGCATTTTTATCAGTCGTGTTTTTTCCGTTTGTGGGGGTTAAAAAATCTGTCTAATGTCGATTGCTTTTCTCTCCTCTTCAGGATTTTTCGGAAGTAATTAATAGTATTGTAATTATAGAGATCCCCAAGCCTATTAGCCTCAAGCTGGTTTGGATCCATTTTAAGACCGTTGTTCTGACACCCTCCCACTTCCTCAAAAGATCTTTAGTAGCAGATATCGGCGAGATATATTTTCTTTTTCAGAAGAAAACATATCTCGCCAAATTTCTTGGCGTTCTTTTGTTGTCATTCCAGGTTCCATTATGAGCTCTTCAATGTTCTTTATTTCTCAGATATGATTTTTATTACTCCTTTAGCTGCTTGAGTCTTCTTGATAATACAGTATCTTCCTTGGATAAGATTGAACTGCGGCCTACTGTAAACCTGTTCAAGCCATACTGCCCAGCAACATCGGACATCTTCGGCCCAATCTCTACTTTTGTTATTATACTCTCACCTTTCGAAAATAAAAACCGACGCAAAACTTAATGAGTGACCGCCCGACAGTCTCGCGAATACTATAAAAAAATTATTTCTGTCAGAAAAATAAAAGGCTGGAATTACAAGGGAGAGTTTCAAAGTTCGGAGGATTACTATTCGATCAGTATATAATAAGTTGAGCGTCGATGTCGACGTCTCCCGAGCTCCGAAAAGTTTCGAATTGTTGCTTAAAGACAAGGGAAGACCAATCGGTATTCATTATTTTACGTCGCTTCTTCTTGTGTTTGTTCTGTGAAGTGTTCGTTGTCAGAACATAAAAAACTTTCGCGAAAGTGTTCGTTAACCGAACTGTTCGTTAACCGATCACCTACTGTATCGATTATGCACGTCATCTTACTATTTTATAATTTAAAAAAAAATTTTAATATTTAAATAAATCAAATATATAATAACAAAATATTAACAAGTAAAATAAATAAATGATTATTAATAAATTGAAGTTTTCATTCTATAATTTTTATTTTGAGACTTTTTTTTTTTTTCTTTGGCGCCCCAATCACAGTATCAATTAACTGAGAGTCAGACTTGGGAAAGGGAGATACACGTGATGCATATTAGATGAAAGTTAAAATGTATTTTATGGCTTTTTCATACTAAAAGCATGTTTAAGTGTTTAATGATGCTATAATTCGTAATTTAAAGGATAATACTAAGTTTATAAGAAAACCTCACCCTAATTTTACTCTTAATATTTGAAAATTTTCTTTTAGTTAGGAAGCCGGAGTTGCCGCCATCTTGCCACACACTTGTCACTAGAAGTGTATAAGTCAACATGAATATATTTCGTTTAGCTGGTGATTTATCTCATCTTTTAGCTATTATTATCCTCCTTAATAAGATTTGGAAAACTAGATCATGTGCAGGTCAGTTTCAAAATACACGTGTAAATGCAGTAGTGTGAGAATAGTCGTTGAATGAGTATTCTCACACTTCCTTTCAATAATAATATAATTGGGTAGAAATTACCTTTAGGTAACTTGTATGTGTGTGTAGACATGTATAAATTACCTAAAAGAGCTTGTTTAGTGAGAAATTGGATTTTTTGAAAATATATGTAATTTCACTTATAATTTTGATCAAATTAAATGTACAAGTGTTTTAAATAGTTATAATTAGTGATGGAAATAATGTTATATTAATTTTAATATATGATATACATAGGCAGTTATTTATTTATTTATTTTTTCAATTAAAGATAAGTGAGTGTAAATAACATAATGAATTTATTACCAAAAGTTAGGTACAAACACGGTTACTTTTCGACATAATCATAGTGAAGATTGAGGCATTAGTCATGTCTGTGGATGATCCCCTCTTTGTAGAATGTTGTGGCAACATTATTACAAGGGGGATGGAAAAGCTCATCCACAGATAGGACAAATTCCTCAATCTTCACGGTGATTATGTCAAAAAGTAATCATGTTTGTACCTAACTTTTGGTAATAAATTCATTTTGTTATTTACACCTGTCTTTGTTTAATGGACCATTGGAGGTTGAAAAAAAAACTGCCCTCGTATATGCAATGTAGCAATTAAATTTTGAGAATTTTGTATTTAATAATTCTTCAAGACTTAATTTTTTTAAATGTTGATGAATTCTTTATTGATTTGACAAGTATAAACATATGATGTACTTTACTAGTACAATGTATGTTGTATAATATTATCTTGTTGATGAAAATGAAATGCAGGTAAGTTTGATTTGGCAATTATTAACAAGAAAAATGAAAATAATATAATTCTATTCTGATCTTTCTTTTACTCCATTTGTGAGTGACTATACCTCTTGCATAATTTTAAACAAAGCATTTCAATTAATAATTAAATAGTATTGAAGATTAATATTAAAATAGGGTATTTGTTTAATTTTATTCTTAATTAACCAATATATGGTCTCTCTGTTTTTTTACCTACCAGAAGTGTTGTGTCTCAGTATTTAATAATATAAAATATTTTAAAATTTCAATTTAATCAAGAGGTAAATACAANTTTTATTACTAAATTAATTTTTTAAATTCTAAATTGTATTTTATTTATTAAGTAATTTTATAACTTATATGTAATTAATTAGCTTTTGAATCATTGGACCGTGCAAGTATATTTGGGGGCAGGGTGGGTATGGCCGTCTCTGAATCCTTGACTGTCTGGCATTAGCAGAGAATTATTTGGCTCCACTAGATGCTGGATGGATCAAGATGAACTGGGCAACCAATCCTTGAGAAGCTACTTGACAACTGTTATAGCTTAGGAAAAACGAACAAACCCCTAAATGGCCAGGAATGAATTCTTGTCCCGTGTCTGGAGCACATTGCCGTACCGACTCGGCCACCTTAACAGCACTTTATGCATAGTTATTTAGATATGTGTTTTTATCTTTTAAAATTTCAATTTAATCAAGAGGTAAATACAAATACATATGTTATCAAAAGAAGGGATATATAAATTTCACCCAATTCAATACTTTTATTAAAGAAACAGTTGTGTCAGTTAACAATTAAGAAATAAATAATAATCATATAAGTAATTATTATCTATTTCTTATGATTTAAACATAATATATGATCATAAAATGTTTATAATAGTAAGAAAGATGAAAAAAAAGGATCAAAGTAAAAATCATCATCAATAGTGATCCATTCTGTATTTGAATCAATCATGCTTGACATATTATTACAAGCTAATTCAACTTCTGTATTATTTAAAGATATAGCAGCAAAAATGTTCTGAACTTTTTATTATTTTATTTTTATACATTCATACAATGAAATTTACCTGAAGCATGACTCGGGAGCAGTTCAAAGACGTTTTTGCAGTGTACATATTATTGACACCGGACAATAGGTTTATAGTGCAATTTATCTTTTACATTTTCTGATATTATGGATTTGAATTACAAGTTCACTTTTTTGATGTTTAAATACCAAGAATTTAATAGTTTTTAATTATAAATTACTCAGTAAAAATATTTTAGATTTTATGGAAGGAAAATAAAATTGTAGTTGATAAAATTGATTATTCAATAAATTTTGCTTAAGAGTATATAAAATTAATAAATTTTTAATTATTTTAATTACCTGATAGTGTATTGCATATAAGACCAAATTTAGGTTCAATACAATATTAAACATATCAATATATAGCGAGTGTGTTGATCTGAAAATACTTGAAAATTGATTCTTGTAAATACAATCTTTCAAGAATAGCAAACAAGGAAATTTGTTCTGGTATATTTTTACACCCTATATAAATACTGTTGGATTAAAGAAACTCGTATGGAATGTTATTTTTAATNTATTTTTAATATGTGGCTAATCAAAATGCAATGCAGTTCAGAACATTTTTTTTTTTTATTTAAATTATATAGTGAAGATTTTAAAAACTTTTCTAAAATAGATGTAAAGTTTTTGTTAGGAACAAGTTAAGAATAAATGTTAGCTGAACACTTTATAAAAATAGATGCATTAATATTTGATTTGAACTCAAACTTAATCTTGTTCAGATCTTTTTAAAACCAAACCCAATTTGATGGTAAAATTGTTAGTGTTCATATTTGTTTGTTTCCTAAAAATATTGATAAAACTTTAATTATTACAGTAGACCCCTCCCTATAACACAGGTTCATGTCTGTATTATACAAATCCGTTGATGAGAGAAAAATCTATGGCCATCAAGTGGTCAATGATCGAATGAATTTGCTTCAATATTGCCTAGTTTGCAGTGGCCTTATGCATGTAGTCATAATTTTTTTTTCATTATTATATAAATTGTTAAAATTTGTAAGTAAATTTTATAATTTTTAGAAATGTAGCACTTCAGTTATTCTAAATTTTTCATTTCTGACTACTTCTATAAAATTTATAATGACTCCAGAAATTTTACAAAAAAAAAATCTTATTTGATTTATAATTATCAAGAACAATAAACACCAAGGGATAGAATTATACACAGAAAGTAATCATCTTGTGTTATTTAACAACAAAGAAGAAAATATTTAAGACTCAAAAATTTCTATTTTTAAACATTTTCAATAAGTTCAATTTATTATTGAAATTAAAAATACTTTTTATTATTATTCAGCTTCTCCATATCCAGGTGGAACAACTCCATTACATCTAGCAGCTGCTCACAATCATGTAGAATGTGTCAAAGAATTAATTCAGTATGGTGCAGATTATAATGAGGTAGATGAGAGGGGAAGAACAAGCTTATATATAGCTGCTGAAGCTGGTTATGCTGATTGTGTTTTAACTCTTCTTAAAAATGCCATTTATAAAGATATTTTATCGTTGCCAGGATTAGAAACAGGTACTATTGAGAGAATGTTTAATATTAATTTTACTTTTTAAACATTTAAAAAAATTATTAACACTTTTTTGATAAATGAAATGTTTGTTTCTTTTATGATGTATTAAAGGGAAACTGCATTCCAGAATATATACACACACTTTTTTTTTTATAAGTACCATGATAATTTATCTATACTAATATTATAAAGAGGCAAAGTTTGGATGTAGGAGGTAATCTCTGAAACTACTCATCCGATTTCAAAAATTCTTTCACCAATATTTAGAATGGAACTTCAGGGTGGACATAGGCTGTATATTAGTCTGTTAAACATTCATATAAATTACAAGATATCATCTAGGATTAAGGCTTTTATGTCCAACAGATGGTTGCTTATTCCACGAGTATGACAACCTAAGTTTGCTTTTCTGTGAGGATGAGCTAAAGCAGATCTTCTTTTATCTATCTCTATCTATCTATATAAATAAAGATGTAATGTTTGTTTGTTCTGTGAGGGTTATAAATGTACGAGACAGGTATTCCAACAAATTCCAACTAAACGATAGTTTATTACAACCAGAAATAACAGGTAATACAGTGATGCCTGTCAGAGACAAATACACAGATATTATATATAACAGGTCTCTGTTCTCGTTCGGATTCTTACAATGAATTGTTATCGCGAGACGGATTCTAAACACTAACTTATAGATAACTTATAACTAACTTAATCTAACATTACACTAATAAGAGGAAAAGGAAGGAAGGAAAAAGTCTACCGGTATTTAGCACAGGAGGTCCTGATCGGGGTCTTCGATGACTTTGGGGATTTTATCGATCGACATTGGGATATGCAACATTCTTTGTATGGAAATTGTCACTTGGATTTTGTAGATCACTAGTTCTCATCGGACAAGTCCTTAGTTCTCGGTTTTCATTTTGGACTACTCTACACTCGGTACGTTCATCTTGTTCTTTGTCCTCGTGGTCCGACTTACTGTCCTGACGATACGTTCGCCACCTATTCTCTTCGTGGCCCAGGCAAAAAGTGTCTCTCTTCTCACCCCTTTGTTCTCCTATTATATCCCGTGGGCAAGACCCCTCCCTGTTCTTGTCGACAAGCCCCCAATCAGGACCCACGAAATTCCCGCTCCTGTCGGGTGACCGGAAATGGTCATTAGTGGAAGGAAGAAGAAGGAAAGGAAAGAACAAAGAAATTCTAAATCTAAATACTATAGCTACATATATACAAAAATGGCAGACAGCCACAGTTCCTACTGATTCCTTTGAAATTTTGACACAACCTTGCATTCGAATGTGCACGTGTTTTTATATAATATACATGTCAAAATTCCCCCCACTGGGGGAGATGGACAAGATTAAGTCTTACCATGAAGAACTCTGCTTCTATTTATACTATTTTAGATGCGGTTTTTTGCGTTTTTGACTGCGTTTTAATAGGGTACGTCAAAAAAATGTATACTAAGAAGGAATTTTTTGAAAAATTCCTTCCACGGGGAAGTGTTATACACTATAATAGATACATTTTCAGCCACAACAATGTGTAGCGGGGTCTGCTAGTATTCTATATATTGCTTTTATGACAGTGAAAATTTTTACTTTAATAACTTTTAAACTATTGTTTAATTAGAAATAGCATTTATAGTAATGCTCGCCTGATGAATCACAATATTATTATTTTAAAAAATATCAATTTTGTTATATTCTTATAAAAATTTGTTTATTACAAAATTTTTATGCCATTATAAATATAATAGTGTAAAATTATAAAATATCTGTAGCTGTACTGTTTTCTTTCTGGAATATTGTGAAATAAATAACGCATTATGCAATAATTGGATTTATCTTCTGCTTTTGGTAATGGATTTGTCCTTTTGACTGTATCTATACTTGAAATGTTTCAGTAAATTTTCTGCATTATTTAATTTAACCAAAGCTTTTTTATTTTATATTCACACATCAAGATGGAGATAATGCTAAATGATAGGGCAGATAATATGGGAAAATTACAGTTGACTCCCCATAACACTGTTGATAATTCCATGTTGTACGAGTCACTTAGATTTTACAAATAGATGTGCCGGGCTGTGAACGGCTCACGTATTTGTAAAATTTAAGTGACTCGTACAACATGGAATTCATATAANAAACAATTGTACTAGAAATTAACATTGATTGTGTTCATAATAAACACTTCAAATACATATTCACATTAATATGTTGTACTCTTTACAATTGTTCATAAAAACCTTTATAATTACAACTTTTAAAAAATGTTCTCCATTGAAATGTTGCAGCAATAATGAACGTTTTTTTCAGGTTAATAACACGTGGTATATTACTATTAACACACTTAAGAGAATACATCCACACTTTTACAATAAATTTCACTTTAATATTTTATGTCACAAGATACCAATTATACACCGGGGTTTTTAGAAAACAGAATCTGAGTTTGTACTGAAGAGGGACTTAAAATACAAATGAGTCCGAAATGCATTTGACAAACCAATAAAAGAAGTTCATAACCTGAAAGCTGTATATGATAGTCTACCGAACTGAAAATCGGATTAAAGAGACACATTCACAATGAAAATAGCAGCTGCCATAAGTGATTTTCTGAAATAAAGAATTAAGTTTGCTATATAGGTTTATTAAGTATCACTCTGCATTTTAATTCTATACAGTCTATTAATTTAAGCCAGTAAAATCTAGTTCTGTTACCCATTTTTCTAATTTTTAACTGCAGTAATTATGAAATCATCACCATCATTCACCAGAAGGTACAGAAATGTGTGATGAATCATATATATACATGATTGGAAACAAGGTTGACAATTCACCCCAAAGATGTCTATTATATGACAGATAATCTTTAAATAAAAACTAAAATTTCATTTAGGTGTACATTTTTACTTAAAATTTAAAAATGACAAACTGAAATGTTCCTGTTAGGCTTTTCAATCATTTCAATAAATGTGACTAGGACTTTCCAAACACTGACAACAAAACAACTGTGAAGCTTAAAAAAGATAGAGTAAAACCTTGTTATTTTGATATTGGATAATACAAAGTCATGTCTAGTTCCCTGCCAAAAGAACTGGATTTTGCATATATTTTAGTTCGGATAATTCGAAATATGCACATAATGAAATTCGAAATCATTATCTGGTCAAGTGATCCACAAAAATATTGTTTAATTTGAAATATTTCATCATATTATGTGTTTATAAAAAGTTTTCCATGCCTAAGTGGCAGTTTTGGTTTACCAATTATACATTGTTGATTTATTGGACATCCACTCAAGGTCATTTGGATATTGCATGCGTTGCCAACGAAGAGAGATTTTTTTTTTAATATATATACATAGAAGAAATCTGTTTGGCATTTAATTATTTCATTATTTCAGACACTTTTGCAAAAATCTGTTGTTTCAATAATTCTAAAATCCATTAAATATGTGTGTGTATTCATAATAGAATGTGTGCTTATAGCTTTAGCTGTTAATAGAGCTTTTTTTTTGTCATATCACATGATTTTTGCAAACTCAAGACAAAATTTGCAGTAATTATTGAAGCACTTAAGCTTTTTTCATATGTTATTTTCAGGTCTTGCTTTGAATGAAATTTGGTTATGTTTTCATTAAGTACAGTACATGTCAACTGACTGTTTTTTCAAAATAGCTTAAATTGACAAGCAATAACTCGTAATATTAACACATTTGTAAATGAACAGGTAAAATTATATAAGATAATGTTATAATTCTATTTGAGAATTACAAAAGACTTTGATTCTGAAAAAGTTCAGATAATTTGAAGTCTTACCTTTTTTGTCCCTTGAGTTTTAGTTAAGAGAGTTTACTGCATTGTGTTAGTGTTTAGCATGTTCTACTTTTCTTGACAATTTTTATGGCTTGTTTTTAAAATTAAGAAAATAATAAGATTTCAACTCTTGGAAATGTTAAGGCACAGTTTTCAGAGTGAATAAAAGCAAAAAATATAAGTTTGATTCGTGATGCATGGAATGTGTTCCAGTTTATGAAGGGAAGAAAGAGGATGTATTCAGTTGTGTTCAGGTCCTTCCTGAAATAGTTGGAAAGCCTAAAAAGATTGACACTATTAATATTTTTAGTCTATTGTTTTATAAACAGTTTTACAGATTACTTTTATTTAAATTTTAAATATAGACAATTATGTTGAGAATCATAATTTTTTTCAAATTAAATATATAACTGATATCAATTAAATACTTAGTTTGCAAAATTTTATTTATATTGTTATACTATGTATTTTTCAATTTGTTACTATTAAAAATTAAGAATTGTGTATAAAATGGATAGATAAATTTAATTTAGCAAGACAAGAATTCTTAAATATTGACTAAGTTATTTTGTTGTTGTTGAAAATAAATGTTTATTTTAACATGAATAAATAAAAGTTATTAAAATTTTTCTTTAAGTTTGTATTTTAGTTAAGAAATGTGACAACTATTAGAATGACTTGAAAGTAAAATAAACAGTTATTCTTAAATTTCATAACATATGTTCAGTTGTGAAAAATGTATATCAGATAAATCTCAGCATATTGTGACATAAAGATTTCAAGAAAATTTTACTATAAGAATGACATGGAAACTTTAAATTGCTGTCTGTTAAGTAACTCGTTTAATATACACATATATTTTTTATTCATGTAATGAATCATATACAATCGTTTCTCTAAATGTCTGTGATTAAATTAGGATTCAATTGGAATTATGCAGCAAACTATATTTTAAAGATAACACTTAAAAAAAGTATAAAAGCACAAATATTCACTTTAGAAATTAATTTATACAACAAAATCCTCATTCACATAGATAACAAAAAAGTTAAAAGGGGACATTTTTTATATATTGAGAGGACATACAAAACCTCCACAGTTTGCCAAACCATGGGTTTTTGAACTGTTGCTGTGTAATGGAAAAGGTAAGTAAAGTTTTATGTATGATATTGTAGTTTCTCATGTGCAAAATGCTGGAAATGTACCCCCAGAAGCCCCAAAATTTGGAGGGTAAGGTCCAGAGACCTAGCTGGACAGGTTCCACAGGAGATTATGCAGTCAGCAAAGAAGTCTTCCAAAACTGTAATCCAACAACCAGAATATTTGTGAACAAGCAGTAATGCCATCTGTTGCAAAGTGGAAATGTGAGACACAACTTATACGTCTTGTATGCAATGCCATACATATAACTTTAATGTCAGTACAAGTTTCTCACTGCACAGTGAGTTTTTGGACATACTATGTTATTCAAAAATAATTATTACTAACTGCACATATGTTAAGTGTATAAGAATGAATCTTATATAATAGATTAATGAAAGGTGCTTATAAATAAAAGAATAATGGTATAATAATGGATAAATAAAATAATGAATAAATAAAAGAATAATGGCATAAATATAGCACTCAGATCCATTAGAAAATTGTGACTGAGCAACATAAAATTGCTGCATGCATAGATTATAATAAGACTATCTTCACAAGATTATTTATGCAAATAATTCAAAACAGTATTTTTATGATAAATCCTTGTACTATGGTCTCTAAATGTTTAACAGTTTTGTAATTGATGGTTAAAAGATTAATAAAAGATCTAATAGTTAAGACTCTAATTGTTTTATTAAGATAAAAAATGAATATATGATGATTTTTAAAAATTCCTTTAATATAGTATTTGTTTTATTGCATTTTTTCTTTAAAATATGGTGGATAATATTTTATATTAGAATTTAATTAAAATGATGATTTACTAGCTCTCCCAGAATTCTGGTATATGTGAAAGTGAATAGAATAACTATCATATGTATTTTAATGGTTATTTATATTTTTTAACATTGTTAAAATTTATGAAATTAAAATCTAAACTCTAATATATTGTAATTATTTCAGGTATTTCAGGAAAGAGTCAATTGCTGTTTGCTATGGTTTACACATCAAGATATTTAGATTTATTTACCAACTTCGTTTCTCTATATAATTCAACAATGAAAATTGTTTTCCTAGTTACTTCATATGCTACTCTCTATTTGATGTATGGAAAATTTAAAGCCACATATGATCACAATCATGATACGTTCCGTATAGAATTCTTGGTCATTCCAGTAATTGTTTTGTCTTTACTTGTAAATCATGAATTTGCTATTTTGGAGGTAAGTGTTGATAGTATTTTATTAATGTATGTACAGCAAAATAGTAATAATATATAAACAGTTATTTTGTAAGTTTTAGAAGTTCAAGCATTAAATATGTGAAATTTTCTTAGGACTATCATATTTACTTGTAGAAAATTTATAGAGAAAACACTATTAATAATCAGAGTTAAAGAAAAGAGGCAAATAACAGAAAAAATAAGTTTGAAGATCTAAAAAATGATGTAGCAATATTGTATTGAATATACTTTAAGAGTAATTTAAATTTTATAACGTTCTCTAATAAGTAGGGTATAATCTATTTATTTCAATCACTTTGGGACTTGCCAGTACCAATAACAATAACTAATTTATTATCATGCATAATATCACACAAATATTGCTAGAAGTTCTGATGCTATTGACTGTTACGTTAAAAGAATATGCTAAAACAATTTTTAAAAAAATGAAATTTTTAAAATTGATATTTATTATTAATTACCAGTTTTCTGTGAGTAACTGCAAGTTATGTGTTTAAATCAATTTGAAAGTGCATATGAATTATCTATCAATTTTAAATTACAATTACAAACTCATCTAATAGTTTTCCTTTGTCTAAACTTACCAAGAGAGTTTTAAAAATCGTGTTCTGCATGTATTCATTTGCCATTGCAATTTGTTTGGAAACTAGAAATTTTTTGAAAGAAATGGTAAGAGAAACAGAACATTGGATGATACCTTCTAAACTGAGTATTGGCTAAGGCTGTGTACACACTAGGCGTTTTTAAACGTGTGTTTTATTAATAAACGCACGTTAGCTCAGCGTTTGACGAGCGTTTAGCGGAGTGTGCTCACTGGCTTGGTTTGGAAATGGACGTGGAAGTGATTGCTTGTGTGTGGCTCCTCTATCGTCGNAGTACTTTTAGTGATAATGAAGAAAACATTATTTAATTTATATTAATATGTATCACTTAAATATCTTTATTAAAATTTTCTTATCTTAATTATGAAAATATAATAGCATGTTTTTTAATTTTTGGAACCTAACCCTCCTTTTTGTACTGGTTCTTTGTTTCGCATAACACGACAATTTTTTGGAACGTAACTACCGTGTTATACGGGGGTTACCTGTATATTAAAGAATTGTAAGAGTTGATGCTGAACCTTAATAATTAATTGAAATAAATTGATTATATGTTAGTTATTTCAATACCAGTTTATATATATATATATATAATCAATAAAAAATATTAAATAACAGAAAAAATTTCATTTTTATTTAAATAATGTTATTGCTTTATTTTGTTGTTAGAAATATTGTCAGTTTGAAAAATGATAATGAATACCTCTCCATTTCAATGTAAAATTAATGGATGTAAATTAATTTATCAAATATACAAGAAGTATGAAATAAGCTTTAAAATTTTGCAATTTATTTTATGTCTTTATCAGGATTCATAGTTTCAGGATTGTCCCAGGCCACAATATTATAGTTAAAACGTATTTGTAGACTAATGTTCCTATGAATGTATTTTAACTGTAATTTATAAATGCATGCAAATCCAACAATGTAAAACTAGGTTGAGCTCAAATATATATATGGATTTAAAATTTTAAAAATAATGCTACTACGTTTATAAATATTTGAGTAGACCTATTAACATAAAGATTGTTTTCCAAAAGTAGGTGGCAGATGTGGTGTGTTAAATGTTTCAATGAGAAAAATAAATTTGTGTAGTTGACTACTATAATTAAATAATTTTATATACATTATTAATTTTTTCTTATTTATATATTGGAATTATATCTATTATAGTATTTGTTTTATTGCATTTTTTCTTTAAAATATGGTGGATAATATTTTATATTAGAATTTAATTAAAATGATGATTTACTAGCTCTCCCAGAATTCTGGTATATGTGAAAGTGAATAGAATAACTATCATATGTATTTTAATGGTTATTTATATTTTTTAACATTGTTAAAATTTATGAAATTAAAATCTAAACTCTAATATATTGTAATTATTTCAGGTATTTCAGGAAAGAGTCAATTGCTGTTTGCTATGGTTTACACATCAAGATATTTAGATTTATTTACCAACTTCGTTTCTCTATATAATTCAACAATGAAAATTGTTTTCCTAGTTACTTCATATGCTACTCTCTATTTGATGTATGGAAAATTTAAAGCCACATATGATCACAATCATGATACGTTCCGTATAGAATTCTTGGTCATTCCAGTAATTGTTTTGTCTTTACTTGTAAATCATGAATTTGCTATTTTGGAGGTAAGTGTTGATAGTATTTTATTAATGTATGTACAGCAAAATAGTAATAATATATAAACAGTTATTTTGTAAGTTTTAGAAGTTCAAGCATTAAATATGTGAAATTTTCTTAGGACTATCATATTTACTTGTAGAAAATTTATAGAGAAAACACTATTAATAATCAGAGTTAAAGAAAAGAGGCAAATAACAGAAAAAATAAGTTTGAAGATCTAAAAAATGATGTAGCAATATTGTATTGAATATACTTTAAGAGTAATTTAAATTTTATAACGTTCTCTAATAAGTAGGGTATAATCTATTTATTTCAATCACTTTGGGACTTGCCAGTACCAATAACAATAACTAATTTATTATCATGCATAATATCACACAAATATTGCTAGAAGTTCTGATGCTATTGACTGTTACGTTAAAAGAATATGCTAAAACAATTTTTAAAAAAATGAAATTTTTAAAATTGATATTTATTATTAATTACCAGTTTTCTGTGAGTAACTGCAAGTTATGTGTTTAAATCAATTTGAAAGTGCATATGAATTATCTATCAATTTTAAATTACAATTACAAACTCATCTAATAGTTTTCCTTTGTCTAAACTTACCAAGAGAGTTTTAAAAATCGTGTTCTGCATGTATTCATTTGCCATTGCAATTTGTTTGGAAACTAGAAATTTTTTGAAAGAAATGGTAAGAGAAACAGAACATTGGATGATACCTTCTAAACTGAGTATTGGCTAAGGCTGTGTACACACTAGGCGTTTTTAAACGTGTGTTTTATTAATAAACGCACGTTAGCTCAGCGTTTGACGAGCGTTTAGCGGAGTGTGCTCACTGGCTTGGTTTGGAAATGGACGTGGAAGTGATTGCTTGTGTGTGGCTCCTCTATCGTCGCTATAAAAGATGACGGCAGAGGCAAAGAGAATTTTGGGTGCACCCAATATTACAAGATAGACTGACCCATGGAATGTTTGTGATGTTGTATCCAAAACTACGACAATATGAACCCAAGTTTTTTAATTATTTTAGAATGTCTATAAAATCATTTGACGACTTACTCCATATTATAAAAGTAGATATTACTGGTGAATCAACAATTTTAAGAAACTCAATTTCTCCAGAAGAAAAACTTGTTATAATGTTAAGGCAAGTACATTTATTTATTCGAATAAATCTAGGTTTTCTGAATGTTGGCTGGAAGGTGATGGTGACCATGATGACGGGGGTGGCGGAGGCATTGTAGACCACTGCTGTGAAGACGCTGATGGTGTTGGGGGTCTAGCTGTGGTATATCCAGAATAAGTTGGTGTAGAATATGCGTATTGGTATTGATTTGTTTGTAGTGACAATGACTGATGATAGTTCTGTGCTCTTTGAATGACATTGAGCAATTCAATTTTAGTCGCAATTCTCAATCCTTCAAAACACAACGAAACAGTTCTATCTTTTGAAGGATTGAGAATCCTTCAAAAGATAGAACTGTTTCATTGTGTTTCATCCTGAGGAGAGCCTCAAAAAGACGGCCGAAAACATTAGCTCAGTAAAAATTTTTGAGTGCTGGAATTAGTATTGAGGTGTTAATTGTTGTGTGTAACACATGGTCCTTCTCGAAACTTGTTTCAGTGTTGCCAGATCTCGACGCTTCTGCTTCTGATATTGCCAGATGTTTTTTCCTTATTTCATACTTGCTTTATTCTTCATAAGTGCTTAGCACCATATGAAGAAATTTATAAAGATCTTTTAACTAGAAGCAAGCAATCTAAAATTACATACTTTTTGCAAAAGGTAAAGCATGGATCTGAAGATAATGCAGAAAAATGCTCAGAGGATAAGGATAACTTGCCATTTTCTTTTTGGCAAGTTATCCTTGGTTAATAGTGCTTTTAGTGATAATGAAGAAAACATTATTTAATTTATATTAATATGTATCACTTAAATATCTTTATTAAAATTTTCTTATCTTAATTATGAAAATATAATAGCATGTTTTTTAATTTTTGGAACCTAACCCTCCTTTTTGTACTGGTTCTTTGTTTCGCATAACACGACAATTTTTTGGAACGTAACTACCGTGTTATACGGGGGTTACCTGTATATTAAAGAATTGTAAGAGTTGATGCTGAACCTTAATAATTAATTGAAATAAATTGATTATATGTTAGTTATTTCAATACCAGTTTATATATATATATAATCAATAAAAAATATTAAATAACAGAAAAAATTTCATTTTTATTTAAATAATGTTATTGCTTTATTTTGTTGTTAGAAATATTGTCAGTTTGAAAAATGATAATGAATACCTCTCCATTTCAATGTAAAATTAATGGATGTAAATTAATTTATCAAATATACAAGAAGTATGAAATAAGCTTTAAAATTTTGCAATTTATTTTATGTCTTTATCAGGATTCATAGTTTCAGGATTGTCCCAGGCCACAATATTATAGTTAAAACGTATTTGTAGACTAATGTTCCTATGAATGTATTTTAACTGTAATTTATAAATGCATGCAAATCCAACAATGTAAAACTAGGTTGAGCTCAAATATATATATGGATTTAAAATTTTAAAAATAATGCTACTACGTTTATAAATATTTGAGTAGACCTATTAACATAAAGATTGTTTTCCAAAAGTAGGTGGCAGATGTGGTGTGTTAAATGTTTCAATGAGAAAAATAAATTTGTGTAGTTGACTACTATAATTAAATAATTTTATATACATTATTAATTTTTTCTTATTTATATATTGGAATTATATCTATTAAATAAATATAGTAATTATTCTTGTTAAACTTTTAATAAATTATTATTATTTGTTATTCCTTAGAATTTGTCAAATGTTATGTATTATTTACATGCCGTTTTACATTTTTATAATTGATAATTTCTTCATAAATAAAAAAATTTAATGTGTTTTGTGATCATAAAAATTATTACTTATGATCAACTTATTATTTTTTTTTTTTTTTTTTAGGTCTTATGGACCTTTTCTATTTATTTGGAATCAGTAGCCATTCTCCCTCAACTTTTCCTTGTTTCGAAAACTGGAGAAGCGGAAACCATAACTTCTCATTACTTGTTCTCTCTTGGTTGTTATCGAGCTTTATATATCTTCAACTGGATTTACCGATACTATGCTGAAGGATTTTATGATCTCATTGCTATTATAGCTGGAATTGTGCAAACAATACTTTATTGTGATTTCTTTTATTTATATATAACTAAAGGTAAAATTTAAAATTTACTTCAAATTATTATTATTATTATTATTATTATTATTATTATTATTATATATGTGACTATAAAACATTTAAAATTTATAAAAATAGATTATGTATGCAGTTAATCCATATTTAATCTTTATTTAAATATAAAATAATTGTATACAGCAGTTATGCTATACTGGATAAGTTATATAATGAAATGATTCATCTTCTGTCATAATGTTCAATTTCACTTCAGCAAAACATTTTGTCAGTTGGAATTTTATGTTTCTGAAGTTGAACAGAATTCATTTAATAGCAATTATGGAAAACATGAAATTTTCATGGATTTGTAAAATAATAATTATTTTTCAAATGCAGTTAAATTTGAGTAAATTTTGAGAATAATGTTCAAATAGCAAAATTTTAATTATTTTTTGAAGTTATAAGTTAACAGTATATGGAGCATTTTGAACACAGTAGAATGTCAATTATTTTAAATAATCAGGGTTGGACACTTTCAAATAACTGATCAACTTGGTAGAGAAAGAATAAAACAATTTTTACTTTAAGATATTTATTTTTATTCTAGTACAAGGGTAAAATAATTAAGGCATAAAAATTTATGAATGATTTGAAATAATGAAAAAATTATCTAATTTATTAAAAACAACCACTTTCATTACAATCTACAATGCACTGATAAAACTTTGAATTCAAAATAAAAAATACATAATAATAAAATTAATAATGAGATAGCTCAATAATGGGCTTGTAGAAAATTGTTTACAATTCATATGTAAAAACTTCATAATTTCTGAAATTGTTACTTTCTGAAGTCAATTTCACTTAATTGATTTTTCAGATAATAAATGCTCTGCTGTATTTGCTAAAGCAGAAAACATAAGATCAGAAATTTTCTGCTATACTCTGATTTATACTCTGAAGGCCTTCTCAGATGTGTTAAACCAGATTTAAGTTCTTGCATATAGTATCTATCACTTATTTCAGGCAGCAAAATGATGTTATTTTGGGGCATCTCCACTTCTTGAATAGAAGCTACTAATATATTAGACTTTATGATATAATACTAAGTTTATTGTTTATTGTTAAATTATTTTTAGTTACATTGGTAGATGCAGCTAGCACTAAACCTTTTTTTTTTTTTACTCAAACAGTTACCACTTATCTGGTACTATTTGGTCTATCTAGGCCATCGTGCCACAAAATCTCAAATCCAATCAATAACCAACAGTTACCACTTAACTGTCTCAGTGTTGTAAAATAACATAATTTACACTTAGTGATGAGAGGTCAATGTTCAGTTTATGGAAAAATGGGAGGAACTGGTCATTGACACACTGCCTACCTGTCAGTAAGTAGGCATTTGAATTGTTGCCAGAAAAGTCACTTCAATCCTGATGAAGAACCATAAGAGGTCTTTTTATGATTTGATGAATGCAGTCAATTTTGTTACTGAAATGAACAGCTTTATTCTCAAAAATGATTGACTAGCAGTGAATGGGAGCCCTGTATTAGTTATTTTAGAGTGTAGCACTTATTGAGCACTCATGTACACTTATTAAAAATAATTCTTGACTTATGGAGGCTACATACCAAATATTTTTTGTATGTACTATTGTAAATGACTAAATAGTAAAAACCTAAAGTATTACAAAACTTATTTTAAATGTAACATTTCAATGCTGAAGTTTTTTGATGTCCAGATTGTTTTTATGTTAATTCAAAGGTCACTTTTAGAGGCCACTTTTGTATGTCAAAGATGATCTTTTAGAGCAGTTCCCATTGTACAGGTAGCCCTCGGTTTACGCCGCAGTTTCGTTCCCACAAAAGCCGACGCAAATTGAATCGGTGTAAAACAAATCCATATTTACACTGAGGTATAGGGTTAGGTTCCACATAAGTGAAAAATACGCAAATAATTTTGTTTATTAATACAATATAATACAAAGTACAAATAAATTTAATTTTTAAAATGTATTTTATCATAAAATAAAGTTAAATGTTTTTATTAAAAATTTTAGTTTCGGATCTCTTACATTTTTCGGAAAAAGTATCCATCTTTAATTGTTTACATTTTTGTTTTCTTTCATTGAGAATTTCGGAATATGGTCGAATGGATGCGATGATGCTCCTTTTTACATTTGCACTTCGCTCCCAATCATTGTCTAACTCACAAAGTTCATCCGTCAAACTTTCCATAGTTGAAAGGATACGTTAACCCGACGTAGAGCTACGGACGAGCGGAGACACTGATTGGTCGACCACCGGTCGCCGTAGCGCATATGTAAGGTCAGTTTGAGCGGGAAAATTAAGGAGAGATAGATATCGTCTGGCCAACGAGAAGTAGATTTGTCTCACTAACGATAGTTTGTGATCGCCGGAAGTGCTACTGCGTCGTAAGGTGTTTTCCTGAACGAACTGATACGGGATAAATTCAATGGCGCTATGGATTCGGACGCCATTTATTGGACTATTAAGTTTGATAACTTGACTCGTGGGTACCTAAACGTTTAGTATTTTAATATTAATTTAATGCAAATGTATACATACCCAATAATATTAAACAGAAAAAATAAATATATTCAATAAAAATCTTTGTTTTAACGAATGTACAATGTCGTGGCTCGGTAAATACGTCAACACTGAAAAGAAAATCAGTCTGGCATAGGGAAAATCGGGGAATTACACAGCAAAATCGCGAATTGTGCAGCGGCGTTATTGTGAATCGGCGTAAATTGGACCAGCGTAAACCGAGGGCTACCTGTACTTGTAGAACCCACATTGAGATCTTTTCCAAAGAAACCTGTAAGTGAATGCACTATTAGTTTTTTTTATAATTTATAAAAGCTTTCCTATGAATACACCAAGTAGACCACACAAATAAGGACAGTTAAGTGGTGAAGGCAGAGTCTAACATATCTGAGACTGACCAACCATGAAAAATGATGCTGATGTGAACTGGAAAATATTACTGCAATGAAGGGAGGAACTACTATAAAACAAAACACACTTACTAGAACATATAACAGAAAAGTTAACAAAATTGGTTTGGATTAGTAAGAGTGCACTATATTATATTATTGAGTAATACAATTATTATAATTCATATATAAAAGTTATTTTTTGTAATAAATGTTTGTAATTTTTTTAGATTTTAATTGTCGGGAAAATTAAACAAATTTTTTAATTCTCTTTTCAGTTATTAAAGGAAAAACATTAAAATTGCCAGCTTAAAATGATATTTAGAAGGGGATAAAAGGATCAATTGTTTGTAAGATTTTACCATCAACTAGAAAAAAATGGTATTTAGGACAAATTTCATCTTGAATCAAAAATAAACTTTTTTATTTGTTCAAATACATACATTTCAGCTCTAAAAAATATGTAGTTCTGTTTAACTAATTGAAAATGCACAGTGATAACAGTTAACTATGCATGTGCATTTAAATACCAAGAAATATACTTGCATTTATTATTGTTATTTTTTTTATTTTTTTGAACTTTATTTTGTGAATATGTTTGCTTTCATTCTAATCTTAATTTAATAAAGATTTTACATTTTTTCATCATAAAGTGCTGAAAACATTTTTGGTAATATTTAAAAAATTTAACCAATATTTGTAGCCAATACTATACAAAGTTTATAAGCTTTGATTTAAAACACTTATAATTTCATGGACTGTAAAATATGCAAATTAATCATTATATAATTTGCAAATTTTATTTAATTTTATTACTAACTTCTGATATACATCTTTTGCACAAATTATTGTATATAAGTTGCAATTTTCATTCATAATAATCACATTTTTCTCCTAGTCATTTATATAGTTTGTCTACTTGATAAAAAAATTTAGTATTTCTGTACTAAATCAAGGTATTTTTTTGTGTTGTACTCTGTTTTAATACCTCTTACAATAAAATGATCAATAAACAGAATATATACATAATATTGTCATTAGAATTATTTTTACTTTAGTTTATGATAAATTTTTTAATGATAAAATAAAATTTTCACAAATTTTCAACTCTGTTATTGTCATTTCATACAAATAATAATTTAAAAATTTCTAGAATATCATTACATTAACTAATTATATATCATTTTCTTTTAAATGTATAAATTTTAGTTTTAAAATTTTCTTATTAAAAAAATTAATATTTTAATCATTAAAATTAAAAATTTTTTTTTTATTTTTCTGAGTTGAAATAATGTCTCATTTAATATTTGTGTATTAGCCAAAACTCAGAAAATGTCTAGTTCAATAATTTACAAATAATATTTAGGATTGTAAATACAATAAATTTAGATATCATTATTGAATTTTTATTGAGTATAATGATTGTAATCAGTTAAATAATAATAATTAAATAATTTTAAGAAAACTAATTACTTTTATATCCTTATTAAGAACAGAACTAAATTAAAAAACACTATTAACAGATAATTTGAATTTTAGTTTTCAGGTAAATGTCAAATAATTAAAATTTGCAATTCTATAAAAATATGAAGTTATTTTTCAATTCTATTGCAGTAATAGAGAGAGAAATTCAGCAATAAATTGCTTAACTATCCCAGCAACATTAAAAATGTATATGATGCCATTTGTTATGATATTTTATTTAAAATACATTTTATATAATTATTATAAAATGGCAAAAAGCTTAATTTTGAGGGTAGAGATGAGTTTTATAAAAAAAAAAAAAAGAGAAGTTGTAAATGATAATAACTAGTAAAATCTTCATTAAATCCAATCCTACTCAAAATATGACACACGACTCTCCTTTATCTTCCCATTCCCTTGGCCTTTAATTACAAAAATCTAATAGCATCAATACCTCTAATACACAAACCTTGCAAAATTTCAGAAATTTTCAAAAGGCATGGGTGTTATTAAGTTTCAAGATGTGTGAACAAAATCATGCCACATGTGTACACTAACATCCATACATACATACATACAGAAAAAACCCTGGAATTCTCTTGCATTTCTCAATGTTTCAGGGTCCCAAGTCCAAAAATTAAAAATCTTGGGGATCATTTGCCATACTATCCTTCTGTTTTGATTATATAATAGAGATGGAAAAGTAAAAATAAATTGGTAATCCTCACACATCTCAGTATTAAAGGACAAATCACAGTTTTATGATTAAATTTGTTTAGCCTTATCAATTTTTAAACTTAAACTTTCTGAAATAATTTTTTAAAACTAAATCCACTTAAAGGAGTTTTCATTGTTTTTATGAATTAACTAAGGTTTATAATAAATTGATTAATTTAAAACTTATCAGTAAAGCCATTTTATTTTTATTTTAGATGATGACTGCTGATTATTCAAAATCAATTTTTCATAAAAACATTAACTATCAAAATTAGGTTATTGATATAAGCATTATTGCTAATACTTTTAACTAGTGATGAATTCATTGAATGATTTTCATAATAATAATCAAATGAATCATGTAAATTTGTAAGGTTTCTTATTTCAGTTAATTTTTTAGTTTCTGAAATTTTTAATATTAAAATGATGTAATCACTTTAAGCATAAAAAAATAGAAATGTAATTTGAAAAAGTCATCGGTTTTTAAAATTCTATTATTGATATTGTGTCGAGTAATAAGTTTTTGCGTTTATGTTCATCTTAAACATTTTATTTAACTTACAAATCCAAACAATGAATCAGTTATATGTGGTCTATTTTGTTGTATCACTAGTTGCCCTCTTTCTACCAATTTCTCAATTTCTCTTCTGAAAAAGTTAGATTTTGAGGCAATATATTCCACAATAGCATTTTTGACTTTATCAATTCCACCAAACGTTTTTCTATCTAAATAATTCTGTAAAGATGTAAAATAATAATCTGAGAATGCTAAATCAGGAGAATATGGAGGATGAGACAAAACTTACCATGCCATTCTCGTATTTTTTCTAGGGTTACTCTAGCAACATGTGGTCTTGCATTGTCATGATGCAGTATAATGCCCTTGCAGTGTACTAGTACTTGTCCTTTAATGCTTTGCTTAAACGGTCTAGTAGTTCATAATACACTATTCCATTCATCTCTCACCATATGCAAATTACTTTTCTGGGTGCAGTCCATTTTTTGTGAGATGTTGAGAGCTCTTGGATTTAGCCACGAACGTTATAATAATCATTGTTCATCTTCAGTAATTACTCGATCTAAGAATAGATCTTTCTTTTGACGATAAATTAAAGCGATATATCAAATTAAAATTATTAAATTGTTAGTGTGTGTTTGGTTTAAAAGCGTTTCAGGCCAATTTCGATTTGTAACAAATAACTTCAATAATAATAACTGAAATTGAACTATTAAAAACTCAGGACTTATACTTTGAAAAATATTACAAGTTTTTTATAAACTCTAATAAACCCTTTTTTAAAATGCACTTTTCAGATTGAAGGATTTTGTATATAAGTAAAAAAAAAATTATTGACCTACTTATGCCAAAATTCATTCGTTATTTTATAATTATTATGATGTATGACAATTAAAAATTTGAATAAACAAGGTAATGTTTCAAAACCATTACAACTTGAATGGCTTTTTTGACTACAATCTTACAAAAAAAATAGATATTTTGATAAAATTAATAAACAAGACTATACAATAACGAGTCTTTCTATGTCCTTTCTCACATCTCAGGAAAATAAGAGCCTTACTGCCGAGTCGACTTTGTTAGAAGCTGCTCATCCGCTTCACTATGCAAAACGTTACAGGACTTCTTTCCGGTGATGGCACGAATAAAATTAAGCATTTGATAAAATTACCAGGCAGATTCAATAGCATTTTTCATTATAAATTTTGCTGTGTTAATGTTACGTATTCTAAAATAAAATAATTGTTTTTTAAATAAATATCTTCTTTAGAGTATTCCCCGTGCAGGAACAAAACAAAAAGAAACTTCAAAGAAATAAATCGCACACTCTATGACTTCGATGCAAGGAACTTAAAGTTTATTCTAGTCCTTCCTATCACTACTCTGTCTCTTCGCTATAACACACACTAAAACAAAGGAAACAACACACACAAGAAAACAATCTCGTGACTCTATCGTCTACACGTCTTCTCTCTCCTTTCTTCCGAAAAGTCCCGTTTCTTCCGTTGAGCATGCGCGATCTCCCACTCTTCCTCTTTGATCCGGGTTTTTTTTCGGTTGTCATCGAGAATGCCCATCCCTTCTTTACCCTGTTGCCCACCCAAGGAGCTGGTTACGCAAGAGAACGCGTGATCTACAGATCATATATCTCCTCTCCTCCCATTAACTTTTACAACAACAAACAGAAAACTTACGCTAAGAGGGCCCATCCCTCCTTTACTCCGTGAACCACCCAAGGGGCTGGTTACGAGCCGGTTAAGCAACAGAACAAGTGGTCTTCAGATCACAATGGTATGTTATGAGAAAAAAATTTATAATCTTATTAACTTAGCCCACCAATATCCAATGAACAAAACCACTGGAACAATGGTGGTTGGCTACAATTCTTATTAATTCCTCAATTTTAAATTTTAGTTCCGTATTCTGGAACGTTCTTTCGAACACTAAGTTATTGATTATAACTCGTTTTCGAATGCTTTTGTTGTATAACTGAAGTATGTCAATGTATCGTACTTTAATAATTAATTTGCACAATGCAAGAAATTCACCGTCTAGGACTATTCAATTTCTATTTCACGAGCAACCGTTTACGGGACCATCGCTTAGTATAAGAAGTAGGCACAATCGAAAACTATTCTAGGAATGAAATACCAAGAACTGTCAACACGCCTAGAATGCGCAATATCATCAGAAATCGCGTGAAGCAAAATCCAACAGTGACGATACGAAAATTTGCATGAAACATTGTGAATCATAGCTAGATAAGAGCTTGTTCCTTGATCATACAGAGTCGAAACTTCTTCCCGAAAAGAACAAGTCTATGAGATCCCAAACATTTGTACAGTACCTCGAAGAAGAGACTAGCAGTATGATTCGTTTTTAACAACGAAGAATTAGTTCACAATTGAACAATCGCACAATCATCAAAATGACAGAATTTAGAGTATTTCTTCCAGATGCCTTCAAAGTAGCCACAAAAAACACCCTCAACAAATCATGGTGTGGAATGGAATCTGCGACAGGCAAACTCTTCTAGTTTTCGTTGACAGTGGTGTGAAACTCAATCATGAAATTTATATATAGAAAACTTAATAATTGAATAGCTTCACAGTCCAAGTTCCATTTTGGCAGCAACCTGAAATTAATCTTACAGCAAGACTGCACAGGTCCATAGGAAGGTAGAAGCAGGATCGGTGTTGGACTGTTAGCCGCCTGCGTGCCAGATATTTATTTGGCCGCCCCTACCAATGCTGATCGCGAGTAATTTCAAAATCTAAGTATGTTAAGAGGGGTAAAATATCCACAAAATATTTGATATATATTTATTTTAATTTTATTCAATTCAAGCCGATAATACCAGCCTTTATTCAAGGTTATATTTCCATAAAATACAAGTTGCAAATTAAAATTTAATGAAATTTTTATTTAGTACATACGTATGTGTGTATAAATAT